TTTCAATTACCCCCACTCGGCTTACTAAATTTTATTATGTTGAATCTTATCATCTTGACGCAATTATGCTTCCAGATATTAACAAAACAGAGCATGGTTAATTTATATATATACTTTTTACTATTCTAAATCTAAATAATAAATTTTGAATAAGACAAACATATGAATTAAAATCACGCTTCAACTAATGATTAATGACACATGTTGACCTATTTTATTAACAATAAAGTAAAAAAATCTTAAGATAAAACTTTTATTTTTTGTAAGTTATTAAACCAAATCTAATAATATAATTAATGAACCCATAAAAGGCCCTTTTTAGAGAAAAGATAAAAAATAAAAAAATAAAAAAAATCTTTAGTATTTATACTAAATTTAAACTAATATTATCTACATGTCATATAGAATAATAGGAACACTTTGTTTTATTAATTTTATATTATTATTTTTTATTTTTGTTGTTCTTTGTAAGTTTTTTTTTTTTTTTTTAAACGTTCTGTACCATTATTTTTTTTTCTTTTTCATTCTGTTTTTCTTCTTTGCTTTTACTTTAATTTTTGTCGTTCTATGTTTTTGTTTTCTTTTTTTTTTCCTTTTGTTTCATTTTTTTTTTTTTCGTTGTTCCTTTTTTATATTTTTATAATAATTTTTTTTTGTTTGACATTCTGTACATTTATTTTTCTTTTTCTTTTTAATCTATTTTAATTTTAATTTGTCTTCGTAGCTTCTCCTTATCCTAACAAGTTTATTATTATTATGTTTTGTTAGAACCCTAAATATCAAGACAACACACATATTATAGCATAAAACATGACTTAATACTTTTCTAAATACTATCAAACAAAGAATTCATTCAACTTAGTAAGACACAAACATAAAAACTTTGATAATTAATTAAGGAAAAAGAGCGAGGAATGGACTCTTAAACATGTAAGAAATACTCACATGTCATATAGCATGTTCGAATATATTTCAGTACACAACATTAATAATATTAACAGATTGAACACATACGGAATCTGAACAACTTCAATATATTGAAATTAATTCTTGCACAATAATGACATAAAATTATGCAAAAAATAAAAATACAAATAAATGTTACCTCTTGTGAAAATTAGTTAACGAGAAGAAATGACAAATAATCAGGAGCCACGAACTTGAAACCGTGAAAATAGATTTCTAGATCTTCAATCACAATGTGAGAAAGTACAATATGTATTGCTTTTTTTTTAATGCCTATCTCTCTATGTATGCCTTTTTTGTGTGTCCTCTTTTTTTTTCTTTTTTTTTCCATTTGTACGTATGTGTCCTATATATATAGGATAGATTTTTTTCTTTTTCTTGCAGATTTTAGTAGTAGTCTAGTGGGTATAGGAGTGGGTAGTGGGTTGTTTAGTTGAGGAGAATGTGAGGGAGTGTAGAGAATTGTGGGAAAGTGGGAGTGTGGGGGGTGTATGGTATTGTTGTTGTTTATTTGTTTATTTATTTTAAAAAGCATCCAACTGTTTTTGCTCTTCTTTTCCTTTTATTTTCTTACGTGTAGTATGTTTTTGGGTAGGTATAGGAGTGGGGTAGGTTTGTTAGATTAATTAGGTTATTTTTTATTTACTTTAGTTTTAGTTTTATTTTACTCTTAAAATAATAGATTATAATAGCATATCAACTAATTATTTAAAATTAATAAAAATCTAAGAAAAAGTCAACTAGCTATAAGATAAGATCAATTAAATAATACTAGCTTATTTATAAAAACTTAATTTCAAATATAGATTTTTTGTAATCTTTCATTTCTTTTTAAACAATTGACAATAAAACTTACCTTAAAAAGTAATTCTATTTTGTTGTTTTCAAATCTTTTAAAATAAACTTAGTAAAATAAGAGAAAAGTTAAAATATTTAATTTATATTTATAAAAATATTTCTGCTCTAAAAATGGTGTAAAATTTTAAGTTCGGTCAAAAATTACGTGTCTACAGTTTGCCCCTCTTTGATTGAAAACACGAAGAGTTTTCAGACAAAGAAGTAGACAACGTGACAAGTTTTGAACAGACTCTTATTCGAAAAGAAAAATATGCGACCGAGTCCTAGTTTTGGACATCCTACATATCCCGGGTTATAGGGGAATCAGGTCACGTGTAGTTCAAGGAGATGAAATGATGAGTTGGAAGTCAAGTGAGGTCCCCTTGAGGCTCCAGTTCGCGACTCCTATTGTTACATGAATATAAAAGATGAAAAAATTAAAGGAAATACAAGTACACGACCCTATCTATGTAGCTTCTCTTGAACCTTGACTTGAGTCTTCGCGCTTCTTGAGTTATGAGATATTGATTTTCATCTCAAATGAGTTCAAAGGTAAACGTCTTTCTCCAGGTAGGTTCCTTTTACTGGTACTTGGTTATTGACTGTGTGTTTTTTTTTTAGAATGAGCTACTGTTTCTTCAATCGAAATTGATCTTGAAAATTACACTATTTTACATCTAAGATCCTGAGCTGGAAATGTGGATTGACCCCATTCTATCACTAGATTCCTGAAATTAAAACAAACAAAACTAATAACACAAAATTTTGCCCCAGTTTAATATAAGAAAATTTTGTGAGAGAAATAAAAGATGGTGCTTAGCTTTAAATCGAGACTTTGAACGATTCGAGCTTTGTCGCGATGTACTCTTTAGAGGGCTTATGCGTGTTTACACCAACTCCATTCTTCATGATGAATCGGTTAAATAAAATTATGTCAGTCTAGTCCTATTATCCAGAAGGGTCCTTGCTATACTACGTCCCATTATTCATGAGGGTCCTTGCTATACTACGTCCCATTATTCAGGAGGGTCCTTGCTATACTACGTCCCATTATTCAAGAGGGTCCTTGCTACACTACGTCCCATTATTCATGAGGGTCCTTGCTATACTACGTCCCATTGTTCAGAAGGGTCCTCGCTATACTACGTCCCATTATTCAGGAGGGTCCTTGCTATACTACGTCCCATTATTCATGAGGGTCCTTGCTACAGTACGTCCATTGTTCAGGAGGGTCCTTGCTATACTACGTCCCATTATTCAGGAGGGTCATTGCTATACTACGTCCCATTATTCATGAGGGTCCTTGCTATACTACGTCCCATTATTCAGGAGGGTCCTTGCTATACTACGTCCCATTATTCATGAGGGTCCTTGCTACACTACGTCCCATTATTCATAAGGGTCCTTGCTACACTACGCCCCATTATTCAGGAGGGTCCTTGCTACACTATGTTCCATAGACTAATAAGGCAAACAAACACTTACCCAATATAGACTATAATTCGTGTGCAATGTTGCCATTTAGCTCTTCGTAGACTAAATTGAACATCTAGATTTTTGGATCTTTGATCTCGAAATAACTTGTGCCCCTGCTTCAACAAAGAAAATTTGTGAGTTTAAAAACGTGGTGGTTGGTTTGTGGTTCTCCCTTTTGACGAGGATTGCTCAAGTACTCATCGTGTTTTACTTTTTTCCAAACACCCAGTGTTCGTTATTGATTGATTGTATTTTCACCCAAATTTGCTCATTTTGAGGGACTTAAATGCAATATCTGCCTTTATGTCATGACACTCATTGTTTACCCTTCATCAAATCATGGACTTCTTCTGAATCCAAACTTGCCGACAGATGATAACTCATTGGCCTGATTCTTTGCATTGTACAAATTTAGAGTTGGTAACAAGTCTTGAAATCCTTTCTTACTTTCTTGACATAAACTCGATTCAAGGACATATGAAACAAAGCGATGAAAAGTGAAAGAAAAATATATACTACACGAGAATAGTAGAAAATGATTCGATGAAGACTCTCTTTTAGAAAGAGAAAGAAAGAAAACTTATCTGAGTGTGGTAGCCGACTCTACTGATCATGACATGCAATTTGAATTGATTACCCGATTTGTCCATCCAATCTATTCATCAACCATTATTGATCATCTAATCTTGGTGTGGAGTTCCAACTATTTGACGAAGTCATAACTAATTTCAAACTTTTATTCGCTTTATGATGTCCACGAGGGTTTTTGCCACTAAAACTCTTTCACTTTGAATCATTCAACTCACATTCGCTTCATTATGCCCGTTAGGGTTTTCACCAGTAAAACTCTCTCATTTTTATTTCTCTCAACTCACATTCGCCTTATGATGCCCAGTTAGGGTTTTCACCAATAAAACTCTCTCATTTTTATTTTTATTTTATTATTAATTTTTTTTTCACAACTCACCTTCGCCTTATGATGCCAAATTTGGGTTTTCACCAATAAGACTCTCTCATTTTTGTTTCTCCCAACTCATATTTGCCTTATGATGCCCAGTTAAGGTTTTCACCAATAAGACTCTCTCATTTTTGTTTCTCTTAACTAACATTCGCCTTATGACACCCAGTTAGGGTTTTCACCAATAAGACTCTCTCATTTTTGTTTCTCTCAACTCACATTCGCCTTATGATGCCCAGTTAGGGTTTTCACCGATAAGACTCTCTCATGGTTTCATCATTTGTACCCTTAACATACTTACTCTTGACACTTCGAAGGTTGATCCAAAGGTCTTTATCCAACTTTTGTACAAGGTTAGAAAGAAATGATAAGATGAAGTCTCAAATACGACTTTAAATGATGGGATCGACTTTAGCTTCGGGATAGAAAGAATAAAAATAAAAAATAAAAAAATGACCTTTTCCCCAATTTTTTACAAATATGGAATTTTAGATTTTTTATTTGGTTAGACCGAACCCCATACTAGGGTTGCCTACGTATCTTATCGAAACAAGAATCAAGTCAAACGTAGTTCATAATGATTGATTTTTTATTTTTTTTATGGAAGAGCCAAGGAAGCAGAAGAACCAAGGAAGTAAATTAACTCTCAACAAGGGTGACAACATATGAATTAATACTTAGACGCAGAACCAAGAATTTCCATTACATCAACCTTTGAAATGTCAAGTCCAAACATAAGGGTTTCTAATACCGAAAAATCACATCATATATAATATCTCTTCACAGCATCAACATTGATGACCATTTCTGTCATATTGCCTTCTATATCTGCTAAGTAAAGAGCACCATTGGATAATACCTTCTTTACAATGAATGGTCCTTTCCAATTCGGAGAAAATTTGCCTTTGACTTCAGCCTGCTGTGGCAGAATACGTCTCAGCACTAATTGACCCTCTTCAAAACGTCTGGGACGCACCTTTTTGTTGTATGCTCGTGCCATTCTTTTCTGGTACAATTGTCCATGGCATACTGATGTCAATCGCTTCTCATCAATCAAACTTAATTGCTCCAAGCGTGTTCTGATCCACTCATCATCATCAATTTCAGCCTCTACAACAATTCGCAGGGATGGAATCTCAACCTCTGCAGGTATAACTATCTCAGTCCCATATACCAACGAATAGGGGGTGGCACCCACTGACGTACGAACTGTAGTGCGATAACCCAACAAAGCAAAAGGCAACTTTTCATGCCATTGTCGAGAACTTTGCACCATTTTACGAAGTATCTTTTTTATATTTTTGTTAGCGGCTTCTACAGCCCCATTTGCTTTTGGGCGATAAGGAGTCGAATTTCGATGTTCAATTTTAAATTGACGGCATACCTCTTGCATTAAGTGACTGTTGAGATTTGCAGCATTATCGGTAACAATTGCCTTTGGAATACCAAATCGACAAATGATGTTGAAATGAATGAAATCCACCACGACCTTCTTGGTCACTGACTTGAAAGTTACTGCTTCCACCCACTTAGTGAAGTAATCAATGGCCACCAGGATGAACCTATGACCATTCGACGCTTTTGGTTCTATTGGTCCAATCACATTCATTCCCCATGCTACAAAAGGCTATGGAGCAGACATCGCATGCAACTCGGAGGGAGGAGAATGTATCAAATCACCATGTATTTGACATTCATGACACTTATGAACGAATCGTATAGAATCCCGCTCCATGGTGAGCCAATAATAACCTGCTCGAAGTATCTTCTTTGCCAGAACATATCCATTCATGTGAGGTCCACAAACTCCTGAGTGTACTTCAATCATGATTGTTGAAGCCTCTTTAGCATTTACACATCTTAGAAGACCCAAATCAGGTGTTTTCTTGTATAATATGCCTCCGCTTAAGAAAAAACCGCTAGCTAGTCGCCGAATAGTCCTTTTTTGATTACTAGTGGCATTAGTAGGACATTTTCCGGACTGAAGATATGATTTAATATCATGGAACCAAGGTTTACCGTCAAATTCTTCATCCACCATGTTGCAATAAGCATGCTGATCACGAATCTGTATGTACAAAGGGTCGATATGAGCTTCGTCAGGATGTTGGAGCATTGAAGATAAAGTTGTCAATGCATCAGCAATCTCATTATGAACTCTAGGAATGTGTCTAAACTTTATTGATACAAACCGTCGACAAAAATCTTGTAAACAATGTTGATATGGTATGAGCTTTGGGTCACGAGTCTCCCATTCTCCTTGAATTTGATGGACTAGTAAATCTGAGTCTCCTAGCACTAGCAACTCTTGGATGCCCATGTCAGCAGCTAACCTCAAACCCAAGATGCAAGCCTCATACTCTGACATATTATTGGTACAATAGAATCTAAGTTGGGCTGTTATAGGGAAATATTCCCCTGATTCAGACATAAGAACTGCTCCTATCCCAACTCCCTTCTTGTTAGCAGCACCGTCAAAGAACAACTTCCATCCTTGATCCTTATTATGAATAACTTCATCGATACATGATACCTCTTCGTCTGGAAAGTAGGTCTTAAGTGGTTCATATTCATCATCAATAGGGTTCTCTGCCAAGTGATCTGCCAAGGCTTGAGCCTTCATTGCGGTCCGTGTTACATAGATAATGTCAAACTCTGTGAGTAATATTTGCCATTTCGCAAGCCTGTCCGTGGGCATGGGCTTTTGAAAAATGTATTTTAACGGATCCATACGAGAAATGAGATAAGTAGTATAAGATGAAAGATAGTGCTTCAACTTCTGTGCTACCCAAGTTAGGGCACAACACGTTCTTTCAAGAAGGGTGTATTTCGATTCATAAACAGTAAATTTCTTGCTGAGGTAATAAATGGCCTGCTCTTTCTTCCCAGTGCCATCATGCTGGCCCAATACACATCCAAAAGAATTATCCAGTACTGACATATATAATATCAATGATCTGCCCGGCTCGGGAGGAACCAACACAGGGGGATTCGATAAGTAATTCTTAATCCTTTCAAAAGCCTCTCGACATTCTTCGGTCCATTCGACTGTGGCATTCTTTTTTAATAACTTAAAAATGGGCTTGCAAGTTGTTGTGAGTTGAGCAATGAATCTACTGATGTAGTTTAACCTTCCTAGAAGGCTCATAACCTCAGTTTTATTCTTTGGAGGTGGCAGTTCCTGAATGACTTTTATTTTTGAAGGATCTAACTCGATACCTCGTCGACTGACTATAAACCCCAAAAGCTTTCCTGACGGTACTCAAAATACACATTTTGCAGGATTAAGCTTGAGATTATACCTGCGAAGTCTTTCGAAGAATCTTCTTAAGTCTTGCACATGATTTGACTATTTTTTTTGATTTAATGATCACATCATCCACATAAACTTCGATTTATTTATGCATCATATCATGAAACATGATTGTCATTGCCCTCATATAAGTTGCTCCCGCATTTTTTAACCCAAATGGCATGACTCGATAACAATATGTACCCCATGGTGTGATAAAAAACGTTTTTTCTGCGTCTTCATCATCCATAATAATCTGATGATAACCCGCATAGCAATCCACAAAAAATGCAATCTCATGTTTAACACAATTGTCCAACAAAATATGGATGTTGGACAAAGGAAAGTCATCTTTTGGACTTGCTTTGTTCAAATCACGATAATCAACACACATTCGAACTTTGTCGTCTTTCTTAGGGACAGGTACGATGTTGGCTAACCAAGAATGATATTGAGCGACTCGAATGACTTTGGCCTCAAGTTGCTTTGTGATTTTCTCTTTAATTATTACACTCATGTCAGTTTAAGCTTTCTCAACTTTTGCTTTACTGGAGGGAACTTAGGATCAATCGGCAACTTGTGAACCACCATGGTCAGTGCTTAATCCAGGCATGTCATCATAAGATGACGCAAAAACATCCTTGTAATCAAACAGAGCCTGGATTATATCCTCCTTTTGATGTCGAGCATGTACGCTTATCTTAGTCTCTTTAATATTTTCATGATCCCCTAAATTTATCGTCTCAGTTTCACTCATATTTGGGTTTGATTTATTCTCAAAAGATTTGAAATCCCTGCTTACTTCTTCAAATACTTCGTCTTCATCATATTCGATTTCTTGACTTATTATTTCAGGATTAGGTCGAAGATTAGATTGGATTTTAAGATCCGGTGAAAATTCTGCATGCATGTCATATCACTAGAATCGGCATAGAAAGAACTGTATAGAAGAAAACAAAATAAATATATTAGACTGAAATAAAAACACAATTACATCCTATTGAAAAGGAAAATAGAGAGTTTGAAATAAAACGACGAGACAAAATCCGAATTACAACCCTTGAATAAATCGGATGACAAAAGAAAAACAAGACAGACTACCAAGACTCATTCTTAATGGGGAGAGGAGTGGCCTCCCAATTGTTCAGCTGGACATCAGGACCAATGAATTGCACATCTCTGTCGCTAGTGCCTTCTCCGAGTTCAATCATATCAGCCTCGACAAATAAATCTTGAAAATAGTTGATCAATTCTTCGTGAACCTCCAGCACTGGCTCTGGGAGTGGTGACTCAGAAGATTCTGTTGTGCGGGCTTTGGAAAGATTTGTATATGGGTGGTATAGGCTTGGTAAGTGACCATACATCTCTCTTCTGCTTCTTGGCCTTCATTTTGTCCTCGACTCTAGGCTTGTATCCTAAGCCAAAAGTACCAAGACTCTTTCGTGGACTCACCGGATAAGCTCTC